GGAACCAGTGCCAGCCGGCTCCAAGACGGACCCACCACTGGCCAAGGCTGAGCTCATCAGTGATGGGGTAGTGCCTCTGGGATAACAGAGTTAAGGAGGGGAAAAAGTTGCTGCGTAACAGCAACTGCAGTCAAAGAGAGGAGCGAGAATATGCAAGAGGAACAGCCCTCAAGCCACCAGGTGAGTGCAGCAGGAGGAGGAGGTGCTGCAGGCCCAGAGCAGAGATTCCCTGCCAGCCCCTGGTGCAGCCCATGGGTCCGGCTGTCCCCCGGCAGCCCATGGAGGCCCACGCTGGAGCAGATCCCCACCTGCAGCCTGGGGAGGACCCCACGCCAGAGCAGGGGGATGCCAGAAGGAGGCTGGGACCTCATGGGAAGCCCACGCTGGAGCAGGCTCCTGGCAGAACTTGTGGCCCCATAGAGAGAGGAACCCAGGCTGGAGCAGATTTGCTGGCCAGGCTTGTGACCCCGTGGGGGATCCAGGTTGAAGTAGTTTGTGAATAACCAGCTCAGGGGAAGGACTCATGTTGGAGAAGTTCATGAAGAGCTGTCTCCTGTGGCAAGAACCCCACACCAGAGCAGGGGAAGAACATGAGTCGTCCTCCCTCTGAGGAGGAAGGAGCGGCAGAGACAATGGGTGACGAACTGACCCCAACCCCCATTCCCGTCCCCCTGTGCCACTCGGTGGGAGGAGGTAGAGAACTCCACAGTAAAGTTAAGCCGGGGAAGAAGGGAGGGGTGGGGGGAAGGTGTTGTAAGATTTGGTTTTATTTCTCATGACCCTTCTCTGATTTGATTGGTAATAAATTAAACTGATCTCCCCAAATCGAGTCTGTTTTGCCCGTGATGGTAACTGCTGAGTGATCTCTCCCTGTGCTTATCTTGACCCATGAGACTTTCGTTATATTTTCTGTCCCCTCTGCAGGTGACAAGGGGGAGTGATGATAGAGCGGCTTTGGTAGGAACCTGGCGAGAAGCCAGGGTCAACCCACCACAGCCCCACATGAAAGAGCTGCTCCCAGTGCTGTTAACACTGCTGTTCTGTAACCATGTCTCAAAGCAGCTACAAAAAAAGCTTGCAGTGTCACAGCAGTGATTTTCTAGCATGTGAAACTGTTCTACAGCCATTACTAGACTTTTCCTGAGTGGTTAGAGAAACTGTGTGGGAGCCAGGTTATGAAAGGGTCCCCTATGGACATCTCTAATCTGCAAATTCCCATCAGGACAAGCAGATATGACCCAACAAGAGCTAGGGGAACAAATTTGTTGCACATCATCTGTGGCGTTTTCTTCCTGTCTGCAGAAATAGTGAACAGGATAGCATGGCGGTCCTTACAAGTACCAATAAACAAGTATTTTCTAAATGGTGAAGAGTCGTGTGCTTAGAAAATAAGATCACATAGTAGCCTAATCATGTTAGGATGCAAATCTTGCACAATCCAACTCATCAATATCCACTTACCTGAGGTTGCAGCCAACTCAGCATTATGGTACTATAGCTTTATCGTTACATTTTTGCTGATGATCAATTTACAAAAGTAATTTCTGAGTCATAATGTATTATTAACATCAGAAGGGAAGACCACTGTCTCACTACTTGGGCATCATCATGCTCAGATCGAGTTCCAGAGTCACCCATTTCCATTTGGTTGAGGCCACTTTTGTCTGCAGGAGCCCACATTCTTCTGGAAACTTCCCAAAAGACTTTAAAGATTAATTTAACTTTTAGCTCTACCAGCAGCCCCACTTCTCAAGTTGAAAGGAACATCTGTAGAGAGACCTCTTCATCGTAAGTTTTAAAAATAAGGACCAGATGAATTTGGGTTTTGCCTTTGATAGACTCATCACACCAGCTGAGCTAACAGTGAAATTATTTTTCCTGTTACTACTACAACAGTGACTTCTGACAAATAAGTGGTTTCGATCTCATGCTATGTCTAACCCATGTCTACAGGAGACTTCGCTCTGTAGCAAACTTAACTTGACATTTTAGCTCAAAATGTAACAAATGTTCAGTCTGGAAAGCTCCAGATCATTCATCATTATGTCACTCAAAATGACAGCACATCAAAAAGGCTGCTAGTTGTCCAGCCTTTTATTAGCAGACCTACATAAAAGAACAGTAAATTCAGTTTATCAGTTTACTATAATACTCCCTACCCATTTTGCACTAGTATCAGTGAAGTACAGCAGATAACAAAGGAACACGAGAACTTAAAACTGTCTTCTCTGTTTAGCTTCTCATCCTCCTTTTCCATACTCAAGAAAAGGACACCAGGAATGACTGACTTCTTAATGAACATTTCTCAGGAACTTAGCAATTCTCCAAAGTACAATGGCTAAACAACAGCTCCACAAGCGGTGGAATTTAATTCCCTTCCTTGATTCCATTTAGCCCCTACCTTATGTCCTTCTAATTCAAGTTTTTCAGACCTACAGCACACATACATACTCTCAAATCCCTCACCCTGAAGGCAAACAGTGCCTGGCCAGTCAGTAGGCCAAGCAAAACAGAGGTCACACAGTAGCATCTCTCCAGATGGACCTTAAGTTAAGGCTTCTCTTCTACCAAGGTGCTAATTTTCTTCAAACTCAGAGGAGCTTCATTAAAACCTCTTCATCTCATTCATTTTTTTGACACTAGGCAATATAATCAAAGTTGGGAAAACAGGGCCAGAGAATAATGCAGATACGGATATATGTTGTGATGATAAATCTCATTTCCTCTGAAAATCAGGATTAAAAAAACCTCAAGACCACAAATATACACATGAACTGAAACTCTTAGTATTAGAAATCTTCTAAGGAAAACTAAAATAAATCTATGCAGTTAATATACAGTAATAAGCCACTTCTCAGAGAATGAAAGCTGTGTTAAAATATTCAGAAAAAATGGTACCAGTTAATTTTCTCCAAGGCAAAATAACCCCTGCCACCGATTCCCAGAAGCAACATAGTGATTGCTGTAGCTGCAATAAGCATTATGTTAACGAGCAAAACATACGTTAAAGAACAGATGAACAATTGCCTCTGTAAGGGAGAGTAGTTGACCAAAATTTTGGTTTGGTGTATGATAAACCAAAATTATGGTTCATCAGGTCCACAGCCTGATAAAATCTCCAGTCTCCAAGCTGTTCCCCACCTCTGTGACCAGCATTCCCTCCGTACACAGACAATTTGCCAGTCCAGGTTCAGGTTTTTGTCCTCCCAAACATCCCATCTGCAATCTCCTAGAGAGCAGTAACAGGCTGTGAGGAGCCTCCCCTCCACAGAAAATCCCACTGTTCTCCTAACAGGAAGAAAACATTAAACTAAATTGCCACTGTGATTTATCTTTAATATAAAAACACTTGCAGTGGTATAACCCAACAGACACAGATGGTAATCTGTCTAATTTGTGCAGAGTAATTAATAGCATAAACCAACACATTGTCAAAACAGGGCAATATAAAAATATCAGAAGCAGGTTTCCCTTGTCATTGGTTAGATTATTTTATCAAAAACTGAATGCAGAGGTGTGAATGATTTTAGGTACATTGCACAAAGAAGAAGAAAATTAAGCCAGGGACAGATCTCATAGTCTGTTGAAGGAAATGCAAGACAGATCCAGACGTATGGAAGGGGGATGATGGAGTTTGTAAAAGATGCTGAAATTTTTGTTATTTGGCCCTCAGCATTTACCATAGGCAGGGGAGGGCATTATACAATTACATTGTCACAGAATGCATTCTTAACATCTTAAATCCTCTGAAGTTTTAACTGGTATCTTACTTAAGGAGTTGTCAGTTCTTACTGTGTACACCTGGAGCAGTAAGCTATTTTAACCAAAGCTATTTTTGGTAATTTCACAGAGTAAAATATTATCAAATATTTTAAATCTCTTTCGATTCAATTGTCCACATTTTACTTAGACCAATGTATTTTGCTACTGTTTTATAGTAACACAGCTTGTTTACCAGAAGATATTACTTGGATTCATGCTATCTCTCTCAAACTTAAAATGTGATTTGCTAGGTGAATCAACTCAAAATTTGGGACCCATTGTCATTGCTAAGGACCCAAAGACAGTTTTGGTGCTGCTGTGAAGAGAGCAGGATGACAAATAGCCACTGACATGGAAATTTTTTTTTCCTTTTGTTTTTTTGGTGTGTGTGTCAGAAAACTGTGTCATTCACCTTACACCATTAAGCTCAGCTCCGGAGAAGAGGATAATAAATGGCTAACAAGGCAGAAGCAAATTTATCAGAAGCAGCGTATTAGACCAACAGTTGGGTAACCCACAGTAGGTGCTTTCTCCTAGATAACAAGTATAATATTTCAGACTGTGAACGAGTTCTGGAAATTCTCCTGTTTCATTCAGTAACACAACACTGATGGAGCAAAAAGAGACTCAAGCAACTCCACTGCAATTAGTGCTACCGATCTTCCTCAGATTA